AAAGGGACTAACGTCTCTCGGCGCAAGCGTATACGAACATTGTCGCGATCGCATCCGACGGGCAGCCGCGTCCCTCGAACAGGACTGCGGGGAACGCCCCACGTCTCGTCGCATTCGCAACCCCTTACGGCTCCTTTTCGGCCCGCCGCCGTGGCAAGAGGGTTTACCGTAACGACCTCGTCATGCAAGGCACGCGCTCCCTTAACCACGAGCACTCAGCCGCCTCGTCGCGTCGCCGCCGCCGCTTAACTGGCAGTAAAAGCGGCCAAAATACCCGTCTGCCTCGCAAATGTAACGGCTCAGGGCAGTTGACCGCGCGCCACAGGTATCCACGTGAGCACGCGCTGTGGAACAGCCCGTGCGACAAGACGCCGCACCACCTTTTCAAGAGTCTTTCGTCCATAGCATCAATTGAACCTGGCTGCGAAGCCTACTCGCCCTGATCGTGACACAACGCTCAAAATAGAAGCCCGTGCAAAGCCGAGATCCAATGTCAAAGCAGGCCGGAATTGTCAGGGGATCACCGCTGCCGAGGAGACAAGGCTGCAAAAACAACGTTGATTTGACTATTTAAAGCTAAAAAACAAAGGGAAGGGATTGGTGCCTCGCACTCAATTCCCGTGCAGAGTTTTCTAGTGCGTGCAGCCGCACTGGCTAACCCCAGCGCCACACGTGGCTACGCGACTCCCAAGGCGCCGTGCCACCACACCCTACTCCCTCCATTTGATCCGGGTCCCCTCGGTCTTCTGTACCGGGAGGCCGGCCGGCCTGGCCCTCTTTGACCCTCCCAACCCTCCCAGAGCTTCTGATCAAGGATAACACGTGGCTTACAGGGCCTCCATCTGGGCGACTTGTTGACCTGGTCAAAAAGGCACTTCTGGCGGGCTAAAAGCAATGCGGTTCGCCAACGGGGATCCCCGTGACATGTGCCTTGCGGGACTCGTCAAAGCCACCGCTGCTCAACAGTTGGGGCCCGCGAACGGAACTACGGCCTTTCCCCTGAGAGAAAGCTTGATCTCCGATGTGCGCAGCAAATACGCCAGCAGCGACTCTCGGCGCATGCGGCCGTACTCGCGATTCGTCCCGGTGAGCACGTACCGCACCTGCAGCACCCGACCGATGCCGGGGGCGCCCTCAACGCCCTCGGCCGGCCGGGCACGGCCTCGCAGCTCTGCGGCGGCGGCGGCGGCGGCATCGTGCGGGCGGTCCGAAATCTTGCCCTGCTCCGTGTACCGCCCGACAAGCAGCCAGCGCACAATTTCCGGGAACCCCCTGGCGTATTCGAGCGCGTTCTGGATGACGGGCGTCCCATCGCCGCCATCGTCCTCGCCCGGCGGGCGCTTGACGTAGGCGACGCGGGCGCCGCTCCGCACCAGGATCTTGACGGCCTCGATGCGGCCGTGCGAGCACGCGGTCATAAGCGCCGTGCCCTCGGCGGAGCCCTCAAGCTCCGGATCGGCACCGCCGGGGTACAAGAGCCAGCCGAGCTCCCAGAGCAGCCCCTGGCCGCGGCCAGGCACAGCGGGCTGAGGCAGCGGGGCGGGCAGGCGTTGACGTAGCGGGACCACTCGGCGCGCGGCCAGCGGCGGTGGAGCCGCGGCAGGAGGGAGCGGCCGTCGCCGTCGTCGATGACGAGGGCGAAGAAGCTCTTGATCAGGTCCACGCCGCACGCGACGCGCTCAAAGTCCCAGCGCCCGGAAAAGACGTAGGCCGTCATGCTCGAGTTGAGAACGGCGTCGTGCAGCGGGCTGTATGTGGTCTTGTCACGCGCGTAGGGGTCCAGCCCGACCTCGGGGCTGGAGAGATAGTGGAAAAGCGCCGGCGAGGAGCTCTTTTCGGCGCAGCAGCTCAGCAGCGTCATGCTGTCGAGGTTGCGGACCGTCGTATCCGCGCCGCCTTTGATGAGCAGCCGGCACAGGTCAACCCTGCCGGCCCGCGCGGCACGCATAAGAGGTGTGTTGCCGTTGCGGTCACGCCTGTTCGTCGAGGCGCCCATCTCCACGAGGAAGTCGACGCCGGCACCGAAGCCGTTGTTAACGGCTCGGTGAAGCGGCGTTGAGAGCTCCCAGTCGACCCCATCCACGTCAGCGCCGCCTTGCTTCACGAGCGTGCGCGCTATATCAACGGAACCACTCATTATCGCTATGTGCAGCGCCGTCGTGGGCTCCATGTGGTACTCGTCGGTGAATAGCAACCTCACCTGGCGATTTACAATCTCCCGCACCACAGGGTCAACCCCCGCCGCTGGCCTTGCGGCACCAAAGGCGACGGTAGCTGCCTGGCTTGGGCCTAAAGGGGAGACGGGGAGCCATTTACTATGGAGCAAGCCGCGCGGGCGGTTAGTATACTGAAATTTATGCCTCTAGGCATTACGCGTCGGCGGATGAGCGAGCTACTTACCGGTATGCAGCAGCGTTCGAAGCAATATGCTTTAAAACGATGTTCACACTGACGAGGTTGCTTTGTTGCACGGCGATGTGCAGCGGCGTAAAGTGCGAGTTGAGCCAGTTGGTCCCGTCCCTGAGCGCCGCGTCCAGGATGAGCGCGAGGCAGTGCGGCGCCTGCGGCCGGAGGACCGCGGCCTCGAACAGAGCGCTAACTTTGAGGAAGCTGTGCTTTTGGCAGCGCGTGGTGAAGCGCCGAGCTCCCCTGTCCAGCAGGAACTTGACGACGGGGTACTTTGCCGTCCACACGGCCAGCCCCAGGGCGCTGCACTCCCCGCACGAAGGCATCGTCGCGTCCGCGGGGCAGCCGTCTTGGAGCACGAACGACAGCGCGCCTAGGTCCCCCATCATGACCGAGTTCTCAAGCGCCTCAGCCATGTATCTTGTGGCCTTGGCTAGCCGCGCCGCCGGCAGGACAGCGCTGGCCGAGGAGCTGCTTTGGCCCTCTGTCGGCTGCTTCGAGTCCACGTCGGTCTTGGGTTGTGAAGCGTCCTCTTTGAGAAGGTTATAGCAGAGGTGCACGTTCCACTGGATCGCCAGAAGCAACGGCGTCCTCCCCTCGCGGTCGCGGAGGGCCCTGTTGGCGCCGAGGCTGAGCAGGGTCCTGACCGAGTCTGGATGCCTGGCCTGGACGCCGACGTGCAAGGGGGTGAGGCCGGTGACATCAGGCGCGTTGATGTCGGCGCCCTGCGCGACAAGATAGCGGATTGCGTCGCTGGCGCCGCCTATAGCTGCAAAGTGCAGCGCCGTCATCTTGTGGTCGAAGCACGGGTCCCCGACAGGGATCAGACGTTCCTCCAGGTAGAAGCGCAAAGACCCAACCTGGCAATTGAGCGCGGCAATGTGTAGGGCGTGGCAGCCCTGATAGATGCGCTTTTTCCATGCTTCCTTGGCCAGGGACACGGTGATGGAAAACCTCCTGACCCAGTCCCGGGCTGGGAAGCCGAGGCTCATCAGCTTGCGGAGAATCAGCACGCACCCTCGAGAGGCGGCAGCGAGCGAGATATCGAGACCATCGGGTAGCCTTATCGATGTGTCGGCACCCAGATCTAGCAGAGCCTTGGCGCTTTCCTGGTTGCTCTTCATGGCGGCGAGGATCACGGGGCTCATCCGGTCGTCAGTCAGCCGGTCGACGTCTGCGCCCGCTTTCACGAGGGCGGTGATCTTGGCCGAGCGACCCGCGGCTCCGCCGCCTCTCCTGTCGCCCGCTTCGCTTTCGCAGACCAGGTTGTGGATA